TGCCGCTAGCGCGTGCCAGCGGGATAGTCTTCCATAGTCCTCCAGTCATCGCCAAACCCACAAGGTTTTGCAACATTTCGCTTCCTGGTCGTAGGTATTGTGGTAGCAACACCAATCATGGTTTTTAAATGGATGTGGTATGCATTTAGACCTACCACGTGGCTTTCGCCATTGAAGGGAATTTGGACGAAGATAGCGGGAAATATTGGGACTACTTGACCTAAGTAGTTGTGTAGTGGAGTTGCATTACTCTACTACTGCAGTGTCCCTACTCGAAGTCTTTTTAACAGGTGAGCACATTCCAGTGGTTGGCCATTGTGTTGTTTCTAAATTTCATCGGCAAAAGTAGCTAGATCGTCTTTTATAACACCTTGAAGTGTCACAAGCACAGTTGGTACTGACTATGGCAATTTGGACAAGAACAGTTCTCTGAAGGGGCCCACATCGAACTGACGTTGGCCGATAACTTCCAACATTCTCGTTAGCATGCTCACTGCCAACCGATCACCCAAGTCGAAACATTTCGTCAAGACTCTGCTAGTCTGCAAGGTCTTTTTTCCTTAGTCGGGCTGCTTTAAGCACCTCATAAGGGGTTACTTACCTCTGGGCTCAACATATGCGTAGTTACGCATTTTCTTAATTCCCGCGGTAGGGCGTGGATAGATGCAAGGAACTGTGAACGTTGGTCAGTTAACCCATGTTCGTTGAAATCAGACTCAGCTATCTGAAACCATGATTCCACATTATCTGGCCAAAATGATACTAGCTGAATAGTTCTGGAAGTTGATGGAATACAGAAGACCTTAGGCGTATGGTCACTTATAGCGAAATGTATATACTTCAAAAATAGTACAAGAATAAATACAAAATGGAACGAACTCATCGGATTTGTTTGCGTGTTTACCAGAGATATAGTTCGCGATAGGGCTCACCAGTTTAGAGGCTGAGGGTGTTGACGTTCATGGATAGTACGAAATATACTAACGCAAGATCTAATACACACGTCTAATACACATCACTGGTAAGTACTCATGAAGCTGTAGCATTGAGGGGACTAAAATTGAAAATAAGTCTGATGCAAAATACAACTGCCTAGTTCCGTTGTAATTTATTGTAATCGTAGTATTAGTATTTTGGGATGACCGAATTACAAGAATCCAACCAAAACACAGAGAGGGCGGAATTTGTATTTAGCGGAATTATTATTCAGTTCATATAAGAAATATATTAACAATCAACAGTAAGTATTTAAACAACACAGAGATAGAAATTGTCAATCACCACATGTTTCGTCTGGCCTACTGCATTAAGAAACTTAGGCTATCTGGAATCACCCAACCTCTGCTTTCACAATTTGTCGACTCTTGTATCCTACCTATTCTACTTTACTGCTCCCCAATAGTCTCTCCTGGGTTACTGAAAAAGGTCTATACCATCCTGAGAAGGATGTTGAAGGTAGTAAGTAGGATTAGTGGTATAAAACTCAGTCAGCTCGCCACTGCATTAGTAGATAAGCATCTGAATACATGCGAAAAATGGTCTAAAACCATACTCTCTGACCCCCAACACCCATCCAATCCCAACTCTATCCTTGTATCTCATCAGGTAGAACCAGAAATCAGTACAAAATAATACATGCTCGTACAACCAAGTACACGAACTCAACGATACCAAATTTGGTCCGTGTTCTAAGTGACAGAGACAATGTTAAGCGCGAAACCTATGACTTGCTTTATTGTTAATAACATAATTTTGGCTCTTTTATTCCTCTCTTATTTGTATTTGATAGTGAACACCTTCTTAAACATACTTAGCTACCCAAATTATTAATATTGGCTTACTTTTTCGTACTTTACTCGATTCCTTCTTTTGTGTATCTACTGGTCCCGACTATATTAGCACTATGAGTATTTCAAAATTGTCCTGTCATTAACCTTCATGTAAAATTAGTTTTGTTGTTTTCTGTTCGGCAATATTAACCGACAATCTTGGTTGTGAACGCCATTATCACCATCTTCAAAATTTTTGTATTATGCAGGATTACTCACACTACCACTACAAACACCGTATTAGAGCTGACAATAAAAAAGCCTGAAATGTTTATTTTATGATTGTTTAGTGTTGTTTCAATCAAATTAACTGATCATGCGATAAACATTCTTAATATCATTTCATAACTTCTTGTATGATATAGTTTTACTGTTCACCACACATAAACATATCATAGCCTCCACTACCCAATACTGAGATATTACTTATTATTGTTGTTTATTTTCCATTCTACTTCTTGGTATTTGTTCTCATTTTTTGCTATTTTGTGTTGTTTTTGTTTTTTATATTTACTTTTTCAAATACTCCTTTTAAATGTTTGATAAAATTAGATGCAATATTGTAGATGTGCTGAAAATTCCACACTGCACCACTAGTACTGTTTCTGGAATAAAAGCAAAATATTATTATTCACTCTGCGTAGACCAAAGGCGAAGCAAGACATCAAAGTGACCGGCCAGATTACGAATTATATCTTGGGGCTAAATTGGAGTGCGGGATGATTGCTTAACTAGCTAGGGATCACTCACTCACAAACGAACAGACGTAACACGATGGCGTGCCATATTGTGTGCTTGCATGACCGTAAGCCTTCAGCTAAACAAATTGACTAAAACAGTGAGGGTCAGTGATATATATCCACATGATGTGTGTGTTTTGTTGTTGACAGTCTATTATATTTTGCTGTATATGGATCGATATTTCATTATAACTGACAATATGATCTTGTCTGTCCACTAACTAAATAAACATGTATGACCTTGTTATCACATGACATTACAACTAATCGTGGTAAGATCTTATCTTATTGGTTCATGTGTATTAGCCATTTTCATATATACTTTGCATTGTACACTTTATTATTCTTGTTTTTCCCACGTTCGTACATTAAGTACCATTTCACTCACACTCTTGTGTGACATTTATTTTCCTTGTCTGGAAAATACAAGTATCATCGTAAACCTGGTGGTCTTCTGATTTCCCTCTTTCCGCGTCAGGACTATTAACTACTCGACGAGTACATAACAGTCAGCATCCAATGTTCAGCGATGAATGTTGTGGTTAATAGTTATCGAGAATCAACCACCACTACAATGGAAACGATGGAAAGTGTCATTTCCTTGGTATCACTATGCAACGCCTGGAGATCAATTTAGCGCAAGCCTACATGGAACGGACATTTCTTACATTTTAATAGTTTTTATCCAAGTAGCTGTAAACAATCACTGGCCAAAACTCTGTTTTATAGAGTCAGGAGAATATGCTCTAGAGGAAAATTACAGGAAGAATTTTTGATTCACGAAACGATATTGAAAAACAACAGATTCCCTTCAGAAATTCATCGGCAAGTACGGAAGATTTGAAAGCTCAAATGCCAAACAAATCGCAGCGGGGGAAAGCCTGTGTTCATTCAGCTCAATTTTAGAGGTTATTGTATTGCAGGAATAGTCAACAAAAGATTGAATACGTCATTAGCCAGAACCTAACCTGCAGCTGAGCTTATTGCCGTTTATAGGACAACATGGTTTCTGGTGTAGTCTGTGTCGATAGGTACGCTTCTCATGTTGACTTTGTGTGTACAAATCTATACGTATCTGAGGAAGCGGTTACATGGGGAGAACAGAAAAAAGGCATACCTTCGAATTTCTGAACGTGTACCAAACAGCATACTTCTCAAGGGAACATATGCTTACAATAGTGCCATTGTCAGACATCTCATCAGTACGGTCCATGGGGCAGACATCGCGAAATATTTTAAAATAATCAGTGGATAGAATAGTTCAATTCTTTCCTCAGGTTTGTCGAAGCAGTCACTACCAAACGCCTGAAAGCCGACATTTCTTCAGATAGAAGCAGTTATCATTCCTTTCTACCCCTGGCAACTGAATGTCTTTATTGTCACTTTCATTTGATTACGTGATCTTCGGCATAAACCTCACACCTTTTTTGATACACTGTAATTAAGTTTTTCTCTTGTGTCTATGATTTGAGTTGAACTCATTCTACTGTTACTTAATTTACTAATTACTCATCATTTTACATCTTATCTTAATTACGCAACTCCTGTATTCAAATATTTATTTTTGTTCAACCTTGAACTCTTTGGGTAAAAACTACATTGTAATTTTCTGAGCACTGTTTATCAAGTTTGGAGCCTGCTATCACCTAATATGATGTAATATTTGCAAGGATGTCAAAATTATTCTTTATATAGACTTAATGATCCCTTTAGGCTGTATTTAGCTGATGAGAAGCCAAACAAATAAGTGATGGTACCATTTCATTTTACAAAAACTGTTATTCTTGCTTTATTTAGATTCATTAGTGGGAAAGAATGTATGAAACATACACTACTCATTGTGTCCCGAGCAAATGAAACCCGACTTTGTCTGTGATACGTCCCTACATATATCATTCTTTTCCTTTTTGATATTTCTTGTAGTACTTTAAGGTGTGCCTACTTACACTTTTGTATTACTGTGTAAATTATTAAGCAGCTGTGTTTCTGATTTTATTGCCATTTTATTGGTAAAACATCTGCAACAGAAAATGATTCACGAAGTTTAAAGTACTTTGACTGAAATTAATGCTTTTCATTTTTTCACACTGACGTAGACTAAGGGTTCATGATCAAGAATAAGGTTCATTAAGCTTAGTAAAATGGTAATTTACCACGTCCTACGGTGTAGCTTTAGTCAGGAATGTGTTAAATGTCATTATATACTTCATTTGTTCTGACTTGTGATTAGTTAAAAAAAAATGCTTATTGCAATTGTTAATAAGAATTTTGAAATTGCATAGATTTGAAATCATGAAAAACAAAGAAAATAGTACTGAAAACATTATTTTAAAAAAAGATCACACTATCGATATGTAGAAAAACCAGGTGAGCACTAATTTCAGTATATGAAGTCAAAGAAATCTGGAACAATTAAGGTATCTGTTAGTAGTTAACTCAATGTAGGTAAGGGTCTTGCAGAACTTTTACGTTTTTTCATTAAAACTAGATTATTTGCATTGGATTGTTCATTTGAGTTGTCGCTTGTACGTGGTTTCGTTTGGGAATCCACCGAATCGTAGTTACTGCCGTCAGCTTTGTTGAAATATCTTGATGGAAGGTTGTTGTTTTGCACCATTTCAGACCGGTTTATTTTTTCACTAGGGAATTGTGACTGTGAATTTAAATTGGTTCTCAATACATTAGACGGCTTTTCTGTATTTATTGGTGCTATTTGGCGGCTACTAGCGTTTACTTCACCAGAAAATTCTTCAAAAATAGTTTAAAACATGTTATAGTTACATAGTTGATCTTTATCTGTTGCTATGCATGCTTCTTATAGATGTTAGAAAATTTAGTTACAACTGAACATCACAATAAAGCCCACGCCAATTACCAGGCGACTAGATAGGTATTCAACTATTTAAGAAAAACTTAATGTACTAAGATAGCGTTTCACTTTGAATGAAGAAAGAAACCATTTAATGACTCAGGCAGATGGCTTTACAAATCCGACCTCATAACTAGTTGACCGAGCTGGATGATACAACTGACAAACGGGTGGAAGTTCGACTTCACGCATGTAATGCTGGAAATGAAAGATCTAGAACTACCTTTTCATTATCATACTAAAGCCTATCTGAATCTTTTTGTTAATTCGATTAGAACCATTGCATGTGAATTAATAAACATGAGCTCATACTTCATTACTAATCAAGAACTAACTGATTAGTTGGAAATGTAAGATTAAATTGTTTGTCGTTTCAGAGTAATAAAAAGTTTGCTGACAAAACTGTTATCTTTCAAAATAATCAGCAGAAACAATGAAAGCTGTAACAGATGTGATCACTTTCAAAACTCAGTAATAAATCATTGACAATGAGGAACTTGTTTTACACAAGCGAATGCAGACGATATCGTTTGGTGTTTATGTAAGAGAATACCATAGGAATTTGTTAATACACCGAAACTAATACAACTTAAAATGTTTTGGTGATGGCTGAAGCCTTCAAAGAAGTTTCCGGTGTGCCAGTTTGCACTGCCCTCTGATTCATTCTTATCACCCTTAACAGAAGAGTATCGACAAACGGACAACATATATATATATATGGTGAGAGCAGGCTGCTAGCCAATTGGTAGACATTAATCTACGTCAATGTCTAGGTCACTAATATTGACCGTGAGAAAATATGAACAAGGCTGATTCAACAACCAATCACAGCAAACTTAACGTGGGCAAATATGATTCGCAGATAGACGGCTCCACTTTTCGATGGTTACCCGAAACAACTAATCAGAAGACTGCGGTTGTCTACTTGAATAAGCTATAATAATGTATGTGAAATATATATAAATACGTGTTGATTTCCGTAATAAAACGATCTGTTGCCGGCCCTTGTCTTCTATTGTTACATATATAGTATTCATGTCAGTTTCGAGTAAATCAGAACACTACTGTACTTCTAGTATTAATTAATGCCTGAGAATTTTTATTTATTTATTTTCTTTATGCTGAAGTAAAATGTGTTGGTGGCACAGCAGTAGAATGCTCGCTGACTACACATATGATCCGGGTTTCGATCCTCAGCCGGCACACCCGTTTACGTCGCTAAACCAGTAATAAGAGTGGCAAAGAGGGAAGGTTGGGCATGAGGCTAGCAACCCCATACTGTAAAAATAGACACTACTACTACCGAAACTTCAAGCCTCTAGCTTGAAGCCCTGTGTTCCACTGGGGGAAGTTAAATGTACTTAATCTTTCAGTGAATAACCTTCTGCTTTTCGCAAAACACACTAATAAAATCAGTCACCTGTGAATATTTATGTAGAGTCTGTTTAAGAATATTTTTTCCCTTACATTTTTGGTACAGATTGAGATAATCCGCTAGTTTAATTAATTCATGCATTTTTTGATACTCAAATTGTCGTCTTAATCATTTCATGAACAATTGTTATACTCCACAAAAGGTGAATTATAACCTCTGATAGGCAGTATGCACTATTTTGCTGTACTATTGAAACGCGTGAGGTTATAGATATACTACAGTTTGAATACATTATTCTAGTGTATTTGTAAAGGTTGGTAAGATTCTGATTCGTTAAAGAATACATTTAAGCAATAGTAGTGTCACAAAATAAATGAAAGTGTGAAAATTACCTGACACATAATTGGCAGGTATAAATCCTTCCTGACCAGTACGAAGCAACTTTGCCATCCACCATTTAGGGGTATCTTTATACAATATTTTCACAATATCACCACGATTAAGATTCAGTTCATCAGATCTCTGAGCTTGATAATCGTATAAAACCGTGAATTGATTTGCTTTCCCTCCCAACGTGTGCAGTTGTGATGGAGAAGCAAATGTTGAATCGAAAGTTTTCGCCAAATTCCGTTGATTAGAAGTCTATTTGTGGGTAAAGACAAAAATGCCATTAAGAGGTTTGTGGGTCCAAAGTTATCACAGTTGAAAATTCAGTTATTTTTTGCATTTTAACAATAATAGTCAACACACTGTGGATGATTTCAATTATTAAAAATATTTAACAAAAATGGTTCAGAAAAAAATACAAATAATACATTACATACCGAAAAACTTCATACACAAACAACCTCTGTTACAATGGTGTCTTTGATCTCATCACCTCTTTGGAATCTAAAGATAGGCAAGTAAACTGATGTCAGTACTTACAAAGAAGCGCATCATCGCAAACTGACATATTACACTTAAGTCATTGATTTTTCAAATCCCAAAGATTACAGCTGGACTGGGTGAGGTTTTTAATTCCATATTAATTCGCTTACTAGATATGTCACACTGTGAAACAGTATTATTTGCTGGATGACGAAATTTCAAACAGACTTTATTGTTTAAAATTACATCAATTATAACCAAAGGTCTTCGATACTTCCATCTTATAGCTTTTTATATTCTTTCCTATTTGCCACAGGAGAAGTGGAATTTTTCAGATGTCTGGCACAGATGTTAAATCATCCTCATTACACGTATTTTCAGCTGATTCGATAAACAGAGCTTCCACTATTAATCTCTGCCTCCCAATCTGCTATATTTTTCAACATTACGAAGGTTTGATCAGTCTAGACCTGTTTCCCAGCTGATACTACTTCAACTAACAGTATTCGTTGAAGAAGACAGGCATCTTGCATTCGTGCGTAGATATTACCAATCAACCACCAACCACTTCTGATGAAGCTTGTCAGATAAACCTTTGATTCAAATCAATTCTAAAGTAACAAATTGGAAATGAGATGTCGAAGACATACATTCACTTTGTAAGCCAGTGTTTAGAAAACCTAGTGCCCTATCAGCATTTACGCACAATAGTTAATTACCATCGGCATAAATAAAGTCAATTAAGGGATCTCTTGAATGAAAGTCTAATTTTGAAAAGATAGAAAAAAGGCAGTGGGAGTCAGTGACTTCAAAAAATGTAGCTGGCTACAGCCTATAAATCAACATAGAAGGAAGTACCACAAAGATTGTAAATCATGTGAAATTAAAAATGAGTAATCTTAGCAGGAAATTATCAGGAATTCTTAACTGCAGTAAAATGCTTAGCTTTGTTCAAATCAAAGACTCACATGGTGGAAGTAGCTTCCAAGTGAAATGCATTTGGTTTAAAAAGTTTGTTTAGGTCAACAATCGCTATTATTTTGAATAACTGATTTGAATAATTAGTTAAATTTGAACCACATAAACAATTATTAGAAAACTGACAATGAAAAATAAGTCGACAAAATTATCTAAGAGAATTGAAAAGAAAGTAACTCAGGTGGGTTAGCAGACCAATTACTCAACCTCTGAATTCTACTCCTGCGAAACCTCAGCATTGTATTGTGATTTAACCCATTACGCACTAAAACTTCAGTTCGCTTACAGTGATGTCGCTTCATTTTAAGTCTTTTAACAATGACACTTGAAATGGTTTAAAGTGGACACAAAATATCAGAAATTGTTATAAAGTTTCAAATGAGATTTAGACTTGTAGTAAGTCAAATGAAACATTTTCTTAGAAACCATCATAATACGACGACGAACAAAGATTTAGAGAGAAAATGATATCAAGATAGGTCATATTGGATTTATTTCCTATTACAGTACCTTTGACATCATGGGACTGAATCAGTCCAAGCAAGTCTTGTTCATGTCTGAAACCCAGGTTAAAAGTTTGACATTTAGAGGGATTTAGTTTAAAATCATCGGTTAACTGTTCATATCACAACAGTCTTATGCAGAAATAACTGGGACAGGGATTCACAGATCCTCAGCATATTTAATGAGATTGGCATTAAAAATACGGTAAGTCATGTTAACACAGAAAGAAGAAAGAAATGGAGAAAATATAGAACCTCGAGACACACAGGCTTCCGTAGACAAAGAAGTGAAGCGCTTCTCACGGAAAATGGTGCTATTTCCTACCTGAAAAATAGGAAGCCAATCACCTTGTGACTCTCACCCAGAAGATGGTGATTTTGGTACATGTGAAATCTTTATTTCTTTCCAAGTAGTGGGTACTGTATCTCTGTGAAATGATGCATTATAGGTTTGTTTAAGAGGACAACACAAAATATCTACACACTTCTGAAGTAAAATGCTTGATTCTCCATCAGCAACTAGGTCGTGTGACGGATTTAAATATATAAGACATGTCAATACATCCTTTTCCTCAAAACCTGGAAAACAGTCGTTCGTGTGACTAGAGGCATCGGGTATAACCATATTACCTTGTCGCCTTAGAGAAGATCTGCTTAAGACATATAAATCAGAGAAGGCATCAACATAATTTTTTGCTTGTGAGTTGACTAAGTAGCTTCCAAACTTTGGAAGCGTTTTTACATGACAAATTTTTTCATTACATATTCCATCTGGTCTTTGTATTTTACATTTTATTAGACACTTGATTCTTCGAACACCAGTATTGTCGTATGATTTGTGCAAACTCTGTTTTTCTCTTCCTAGCTTTTCAGGTTGCAAAGAAAACATGCTTTCAAATCTCTTAAACAGAGTTTCATAGGGAAAGCAAACGTCCAAGCAGAACTTGAAGTAGCGTGCAATATTAGAAATATGCAACATATCATCGACTAGTAGGTCTCAGTCAGTATTCTAACAGATTTGACAATTAATCTAAGATAATTCATTCAAAGAATTTCGGATGACATCTCACTACAATGTAATAGTATCTACCGAAGTTCATACACAAAATCACTTATGTAATCCTTGAACTTAAGATTCATATAAGAATAACGACAGTGATTCTACCTACATAGTGTTAAGTCTAACTAGAATGGATTCAAAGCAAAACATCAAGTAAGTAGTGCAAATACCTTACCTCATCGATTACAGTGTATGTTGGTCTCCATTCCTGAGAAGTGAAAGAAAAAAATAAAACAGTTTCATGCACATTATGTTTCTTTTGATAAACTGAAAAATTAACGGCAGAAAAACAAGCAGAATAATTCAAGTGAAATTAGGATGTTGGATTTTGTGAAGTTTTTATATTTTAAGGTTGGTTTTATTAGGAGCTTCAGAATGAGTTTATAAAATAATCTTGTTTTAATATATGTGTAAAACTTGAGCACTATGGTAGTAAGTTATTCCATATTAGTTTGTTTATTAGATGTAACACAGTATTATTTACTGGATGGCGTTTCAAACACAATTTATTGTTTATAATCATATCATTTATAATCACGCGACTTCGAAACTTGAGTTTTATAGTCTTCTTTGTTCTCTCCTATTTGTCGGAGGGGTAGTAGAATTTTCCAGATATCTGGGACAGGTGTGTAATCATTCCTATTTCACGTATCTGCAGTTGATTCAATAAACAAAGCTTCTGCTATCAATCTCTCCCTCCACCCTGTTACATTAGTTTTTAAAACTGTCATCTTATCCAACCCTATAGCATGGTTGTGTGTAATTGCATGTAGTGCTGTAGCTGAACTATTCTCAAGATTTCTTATCTTATTCGGGTCAACCAATCTGGATTTTGCTAGAATTTTATGTTCAGCTAGTCTGACTGCCCCTGTCTTACTAGTTTGACCTATGTATTTAACCTGACAATCATTCCAGCAGGGTATTAGATAAACTAAATTGTTTTGTTTTAAAGGCTCCACTGGATCCTTTAACCGACAAAGCTTGTTTTTAATTGAGTTTGTGGGTTTGAATGCTAGCCACTTTTATTCCTGCATTGTTAAGGGTTTTCCGTAAGGTTTCCAAAGTTCCTTCCTTGTATGGAATTACTACTGATGATTTAGATTCCTTATTGTTGGTGTTGTTATTAATATTATTATCACTATTACTATTATTATTATCATTATTAGTGTCATCATTATTATTATCACTATCGCTACTATCATTATTTATTTTATTTTTACATTTCCTTACATATTTTCTGACTAATTTATCCGGGTAATTATTAAGTTTCAAGGCATTGCTAATATGTCTCACTTCCTGTCTTAGATTTTCCTTGGTACTACTTAGTTTTTGTGCTCTGTCATTTAAACATTTCACCAATCCTATTTTTACTGACATAGGATGGGATGATCGGAAATCCAAATATGTTTGAATGTGTGGGTATCTTGTAAGCACTAGTGTTTAACTTCTCATCTTCTTTCCTCTTTACGCTGCAATCTAGCACTGGAAGCTCCCCTTCCTGATTGAATTGCCTCCACCTTTGAGTTAATGTGTTCAAGAATCTATATATATCCTGTGTTTTAAGTACAGTGAATGTGTCATTTACATACCTCCACCATATTTTTGGAGTAGGGGTGAACGTTTCAATCGTTATGTTTTCCCATCTATCCATGAATATATCTGCTACAACCGGGGATATTGGTGATCCCATGGCAACTCCCTCAGTTTGTTTGCATATTTTCGCTTGAAATTTAGATACTGTGGGAGTGAGGCATAGCTGTACTCCCAGCACAAAAATGATTTGCTTTCTCCGAATAAAGGGGTGGCCTAACAGTCATAGGCCAGTCTTTGTCCTTTAATATTTACGTGACTGAGTGAAGCGGAAGGGATGGATAACCGTAACTGACGTATCAGCTGAGTTTTCCATTGAGTCAGTATTATTATACTTACGCATAAATCAACTCGGACATATCAAATGACTACAGCTACATAACAACTGGTGACGAGATCATAACAATATGCGTAAGAACAAGTCTCCTAACACTTTCCTTAGGTCAAAAGGTATGAATTTAGGCGTGGTAGTATAACTAAGACATCTTCTTAGATTGTTCAAACCGTTTAAAATATGTTTTGATTTCTAGTACACCAGTGACCCTTTATGTCTAAATGTTCTAGTAACATAATCTAACGCCCTTAGTCAGTTTTAGCTGGTTATGAATAGTTGCCATCCAGAAATGAGTGAAAACAAAACATGTAGTTCAGTGAAGAGGTTGTTTTCAGGGAATTCTTTTTCATTAGGTGAAAAATTGTATATAAGTACGATTGTACAGTTAAAGGAAAAATGAATTCTCCGGAAACAGCCGCTTTGTTGAAATGATTGTTTTGTTTTTATTTGTTTGTTTTCATTAACACTTCAGATAGGAGGAAAACACAGTTAGCTTACTGATAAATGACTTCCTTAGTAAGAGGATCCGAAATTACCACCAACTGAAATATTAACCGTATTGCGTATTTTCACTTTTAAAGTTAAAAATGAAACTGAAAGAAATTGTTGTCGCCAACTGTTGTTACAAGGACTTTGGATTCGTTCTTACTGTTGACCGCAACGCCCAACGACTTACAGTAAGTCACTCCTACACTATTCCCACGTTGAAAAAGACTTACTGAGAACTAAAAGATTTATTACTCCATGAAAAAGGCATTGTCGTAGAAATCACTACTAAATATCTAGGTATTTTACCAGACCGATAAATTGCTAGTTTAAGATGTGAAAACTATGTTCTGACAGAATGGCGTGTATGTTAATATTGCGTTCTGAACAGTTGCAGTCTACAGTGAATATCACTTACACGTGCTTTTCTGTCCTATTATGAGACTGATAACCAACGAACACAAAAACTAACATGCCATGGTACTGATTTTATAGAAGGCATCTCTTTTGGTAATAAAAAATTATTTTTTCTCCTTTCAATGAATATGTAGGACCAGTTATGAACAGCTTTCATAATTTTTTTATCTCAGTGGGAAGACTAACGATGGTGTGCTAGATGTGTATTGCAAAAGAGACAACCACCATGGCTTTGCTGGATATTGAGCACTAATCATAGAAACAGTTTGACAAGTACAACCGATGCATAATTCATAGAAATCTTGCAAGTATGTATACCAGATCATCTCAAAAGGGTAAGAATAATAGTATTAGTCACAAAAGAGATTCTGATACTAACCGAAATACATAATACACATTCTCCTTTAACCTATTAATTTACTCAATACTAATGTAGCTGAATTCTGTCTATTCATAAATTTTACTTACCAACTCATGTAAATTATTCTGATTGTCAAAACTGTATGTCAAAGGTTTCGAAAAATTCTGTTTAAAATAATGTGGAGATAAAAAGGTAAAAACAACGGTTAATTAACACTATAGACAAAAGGAAACATAGTTTAGCATTCCAGATCTACTTTAATTCATCAGATGATCAGTAGTTAAAATCTTTTCATTTCTTATAAATTCATCCACGTCTTAATTCAGAGCTGATTATTCCTTCGGAACCTTGTATCAAACATAATTTTGTATATATTTTGAAATAAGAAATAAGATTAAATATCCATAATTCCAGAAAAGTCTTATCGTAGTGTTTATAAAATTATTAAAACTCTTCATAAATTGTAGAAATTCTATTGACAAGGTTTATTTAACATATATAAATGCCGAGACAGTCAAAAACGTCATAGCTTATATTCTTCTCTTCTATGTAATTGTCATCGTTTTCTCAAAACAGTTCATTTTTGTTCAATTAAAAATCTTCACTATGCTTCCGAATACAGTGAACAATAAGGTAAGAAATTGTTCAGATTTCGTATATTATAAGAAAACCATACATAAGTTTAATTAGTAAGTTACAGGATTTCATCATAAGCTGACATTGGTTAGAGGACCATTAGAAAACCTGGGAGTACTGCACAGCTGTTTCGTCCTAGTTTGGGACTCTTAGTAAGATTCTACTTCCTAGATAACCTTTGATTATTTGGGAAATACTTTTACATCACAGCTAGAAGTTAAAACATATAATATTATTCTTTAATTTGGCCTTAGCTTCCATGAATAATCATACTCATCCATTGTAGTTTGATTGTATGTCTTCACTCTAATTTATTGTGTGCATTCTCAAAGTATGGCAGCTTAAAACTAATTTATTACTGTGCGAATTTCTGCCCTATTTAGTCTGCCAGTCAACGTTAATTCCACTGAAAAGTGTAAATTAATAATATTCGTTTTTCAGAAAGTTGATAATTTGTTTTGCACCATCCTCTGAACTCTGGATGAAATTTTATTTCCTGTGTTTCAGACGCAGAGTAGACATTTCTTTTGATTCAGACAAGCTTCTACCATTAACGTCTACATTGTCTATGTGGCATTTTAGGTGTAAAGATGTTAGCTGATTCAATTTTTTGATTTAAAAAAATTTAGTATTATCATGATGACGATGATGACAGGAATTTCATTAAAATACAAGTAAACATGGAGACTTGCGCAAAAATGAATCATTTTAGGTTGCCACAATTTGAGAAGCTTAGGAGGAGAATTATTAAAAATTTAGTGATATCATAGCAAAGGAATATAATTTTGATGAAGAAATAATACAGTCCAATAAACGTCCTGGAAAGTATCAGAAATTTAGATGGCAGGTGAAAAGCACACTACAGCAATGTTTCAAAGCGAAATACCTCCAGAAATATGTAACGATTACGAATATTTCAGCTATGAGGAGGGGTATGATTTAACTTTCTTATTTCCTCCACAGAATATTAACCTGCAGAATACTTTTAACTACACTGACAACTATAGGTATCGGTCGTTATCAGGTAGACAGATTTGTGGATTTAGACAAAATTATCAGCCAATTTAACCTGCTGACTTATTTCCCGTACATACTGTACAGATAAAGGATTCATGTAAGTGAATATCTTTCCAATAAAGAGACACTTCTACAGAGAAACAGCAATGTGAAATCTGTAATGAAACGAATAGAAAACTTTACACTGATATCAAATATGGACTGCAGCATATATATCTTGTTGACAGAGAAGTTGACTAGGTTTCATGTGCACGAATGTGGTGGTAGTGTTAAGTTTCAGGTCTATCGTGATATCTACTATGCATACAAATGTTGAGAAGTTGTTACTAACATACACAAAAGATGAAACTAACCAGAACGCTTTCCAATTTAGACATTGCAAGTAAAATTCTCTCTGCACTACGTTGTTTAAACTTGACATGAGATGTTAGAATGTCTGGTGGTGCTTCAGTACTGCTATTTTAAAGATGGAAATAAGACAAAAACATCATAATTGAGACATTTTCTATGTAAAAATCGATAATTTAATAAAGTTACCAAGCAAAGTCTAGTCTAAGTGGTCCAATCAAACGCACCCATATAGCCTACACACTTTCTAGGACAGAGTTAACTATTCAACCATTGGTGTCATTTTTCCTGGAAACTTAACCCTCAAGAAGAAATTAATTGAAATCTTTATTGGCTAGTTTTTTTTTCTGGTATATGTTAAACACTTAGGTAACACTAATATTTGTGATCCTTATGATCTAAATATGTATAAACTTTTTTGTTTCAGTCACTTTCTACCTGATTTCCACTTCAAAATTTGTGCGTGTAGCGTTTGAGAATTTTAGACCCTCACTTTAAAAAGTTCTAATCTTATCTCATGAAATTTTATCGAACTAGTAGTTTATCCATTGTATTTCATTGTGACAACTAAAAATACTTAAACAAATGAACATAATGAACTGTAGTGAAAATCAACCATCATTTGAGTTAAATATTCTCAAAGGATTATATAACTGTAGCTTATACAGGAGCATGGATTACTTATGTTAGTTCTGCAATCACTAGACAAATATAACTTTTCTAAGAATGGGGCATTAAGTTTAGGTTGTTTTGAAGGAAAATTTCGTGAATCGTTATCGTCTGGAGTAACAATGAAATCCTAAAAGTATTGACACAGTTTTTTTGGCCGTAGTTTTGAACTGCTTAACAGAAGCAATCAAAATCTTAACATCCGAATACCAACTTACTGTTTATAATCGATTAGCTGTGAAAAGGTTTTTATTGAAGAATCATGATATGGTAGGCCTTCTAAACTAAGTTTGAAATTAGTTACTAGCCAATGGTGTTGAATTACAGTGTCGCTGTATCATAAACCCAAGGGAATTCGGTTACATTTCATTCTCTGTGAAACTGATTATCCTGCTTTTGGTTACTTTTGGTGGTCCTTAGTTTGAACTGTTAGGATGTTTCAAACAAATGTTCATTTTTGTTCAGATGGTTCTATAGTTGACATGTGTTTACCACAAAATCTACACTGGGATGATATATTCAATTGAAAAATGCTAGGATAAAATTATACTTAGGACAATGAAGTCAAAATACTTACTCTACATACTCTCCTTGTATTTGAAATATCTCGTCATTTGATCTGGGCTGTGATAGTTTACTTGCTAATTAAAAAATGAAACCAAAAAAACATATTAGAAAAAGGTTAAAATATGAAATTTTGTTTTACTCATCACCATGTCAGAATTAGGAAAGAAATCCTTCAGTGATAAAATACTGTAAATCATAAATTAGTAAAAAGAACCAATATTAGAAAGTACTGCATGAATGTAAAAATGCATTCAAGAAAATATAGCAGAATGCATACAAGTAAGCACATAATAGAAAAATAACGAAGTCAGAAAATTAGTCAACAGATCCAATCCGACACAATCCAGAAGTTTTGTCTAGGAAGTGTTGCTTAATGCCCGCTGTTAAAATCCTAACTATAAGCAAAATAATTCAGCAAGACAACAGGACATTACAGCCTTATAGGGGAAAAGATGAGCCTACATGAGAACTAACAAACCGATTGTTCTATTTCACTTGAAGGAAATCAGGAGGATTACAACTGAATTAAGGTCATTGAAAATTACCGTTGTTCACAATTATGCAAAATTTGTCCTCTGTGTATTACACAAGTAAAAAAATACGACGACAAAAATTGTCTGAGCAATTGGATTGAAAATACTTACTTGATTAACTACCGTTGTAGTTTTTATTATTCACTTTCATTTCGTATTTTCCCGTCGATTGATTGAACCCAAATTTCCCGCCTCCGTTGACATGCTGGCTCCTAGCTCAGACGCCTTGCTGATATCTGGGGATTAACTTGAAGTATTTTTTGGATGGTGACTAATAGTGGAATACAGGATGCGCATTTCGTCTTATCTAAGGCTCATCATCTGGATGTACCTGCCCAAGTGGTCTAGTGGATAATGCTTTGGCGTTTAAAAAGATGGGTACTGGGTTAGAGCCTCAGTGAAGATCCTATCACTCACTGGGGAATCCAGATGTATCCAATGATGAGTTATAAATACGAGGAAATGCGCATCCTGGATTCCACTGCTAGTCACTATCCATCAAACTATTGTACGTTTGTTGATTGTCATTTATCCCAATGAGGTATTCTCTTTGGATAAATGATGGAAATTAAACCACAAGAAATCCTCCATTTCACAGTCTGGGAGAAGATAAACTAACACGAATACAGAAATCAAAATACGGGACTTCTGTCAATAATCCAATCAAGAAGAGTGTTGTTAGTCACTAAATCCTTCTTCATTCCAACAGTGACTATTTTTTTTAAATGTACATGAAAAATGATCCAGTCTAAATTATTCGTGACGGTGTAATGAAGACAACGCGTAAATCAATATCCACAGTTAATTTGGATTACATAAAAATGGGTTCACAGACTTTGAATATTTGATTTAAGTGTGATTTGAAAATGTCTATCTCAGGTTAACATTTTCAAGACATTGCTCAGGACAATTCGCTTATTAAAAAGTAAACATTCTCAATTGTCTAATTTCATTTTCTAGAATTTATTGTGATGAAAGACAACTCCTACCGTAGATGTCGTAAGTAAATGATATCAGTATAGAAAAGATCCCCATTTAGACATTTAGAAAGCAAAAGGATTGAGGATTTAATTAAAAAGTGAATATTTCTTGACTCAGTCATCTTGCTTTCTAAATAAGTGATTTGTTAACTAATGAATCTTTTCAAGATTACATTACAAACATTTTTATTTGTTTTCGCTTCACAAACTTGAACACTTAAAATTGATTACAGTCATATTCTGAATTTTCTTATGGTTTGTTAGCATTTACTAGTACTAATTAATACATGAACAGCCTTACATATTCAAGTTAGTTTAACTCAAACTAACTTCCCTGTTGGATGTGCAACAACAAAAAGTAACATGATATAAGTAAGAGACGTTCAGTTTGATGTAGAACAAAAAAGGTATTTTGAAATTTTGAAAAAATGTAAACAGAATTCTGGTTTAAGTAGACAAATAAGAGAAGTAAGACAGATGGATAAATCAGAAAGTACTATCATGAAGTATTTTACGCCAAATTTCAACTTACCTTTAATATCATATGCATATACAATAACTGGGGAATCTGGTCCAACAGCTGAAAATGCTATAACATTACCTGTTGGATGATAACTTATAGACGTTACAGAGCCAGGCAACAAAAGATTCTCGTAAATTTCCACCTGATCACCTGAGAGGGATTAATAAGATTCATTGAAATATTACTGGAAAGTATTTTGCTCTAAATAATGTATGATACAGCTGAAACCATTCCATAAAGTTTATCAAAGTACATCATTCCTAAATGTATACTTTGTAAGTTGTGTTAGATGGTAGAGGCTAAAAAGCATATCCGTTTAAACCTTAGTTTTCTGCTTACTGTATATATATATATATATATAATTTCAATATATTTATTATCCTTTATTACGTGATTTAAAAAGTCTGTGTTAACCAAAGTTACTTACCATGAACTTCCTGAAGAAATGTCGTATACCTAACTGTATAACGCATGTTTCCAGGTAATTAAAACCCATAATTTTATGAGGCAAATAGAGTTTGAACGCGTTTATTCCATTCTACTCAAATAGCCTAGCAAAATACTACATATCACCAGAGTTTAATTGCTTTAGAAATTTGTTCAGTATTCAGATAATATTAATTTACTGAATTATTTTCATATTTTATAGGTCACTGAAGACGTATTTAGTCATTCTTAACTATAAGAAGTAAAACTATCATAATAGGGTCTTTTAAATGGAGTTATTGCCAGAAATTATTGATATTCACTTGGATTCACTGTTATTATTCCATACGCAATTCCATATGCAATTTTACCCATGTTTTTAAAAATAGATTCAGTGAATAAAAATGCTGTAAACAGTACTTTAGCTCACCTGTATTCACATTCCAAACGTAGACGTTTTCATCTTCAGACCCAGAGAAAAGGAATGTACCACAAGGTGAAATACAACTACGCAATAATTCTGTATTATTCAAAGCTCCATGAAATCGCGTCGTAATGAAATCTCTAGAAATAAACTCTGCAATTAGGATTAAGTTAAATGACAGCAAAAGTATGTGAAACAAGCCTAATTCACACAAAATTTACTACACTTTTTCTAACCGCCACCTTTCGTGTTGTTCACTTATCTAGAATGGTAGCCAACATATAACATATAGCAACAAAATGAGTGAATTTATCTTCCGACCAGCTTATGGTATCAAATATCATGAGAGCAGGACGATGGATAATAAACGAAGTGGCTGTCTAATTCTAAGTGTTGACATATGCATATATTTTAGAGGTACAGTATGGTCATCAAGCTATATTATTATGTCATTTAGTGCCATAAACTGTAATTTGTCATTCGGTGCTAGGATTCGCCCATTGGAATTCTTGTGCGGCAATTAAATAGTTTAAAGAGCCTTCTGTTCTTCTGTGAGCACCCAATATCCCACTAGCAGTCGAACACAGAACACCCAGGTTTTGGGGGATTCAGTCAGCAGACAAGCAGAAAGCCTATTATATTGGTCAACTGAGTCACTAGTTGATTAAATCCCGTATTTTCTCAGCATTTGATACAGTAAAAATTCTTGATCTAATGGTAAAGGGTTACCAAATACTACACAATTGTTATACACAGAAACTAGTATCACCTGGTCCACTTGTACTTTGTAAAACAAAAACACATAAAACAAGCAATAAAGATTAATAAACCAGGATTTAATGGTTGGAATGGTTGAAAACAGCTAAGTGCAAATTGCCAAAATCCTCAATAACAAAACATCTTGTTGATTACGGACATGATATCGACGCGGTCAAGTCATTCACTATTGTCAGCAGACAAAGAAACAAGAAGATGCTTGCAATTCCAGAGGCTTGTGCAATTCGAATTTATAAATCAGGTCTCTGTGTACAAAAAGAGATGGTCGTGACTCTGAATCTACCATGGTAATACGTTTTACTTACTGTTCTTTACTTATTATTATTATTATTCTACCTATTATTATTATCATCATCAGTATTGTTCTTGATTCATTAAAAACTATCCTTTATCAGTAGGATTATCTTAACCCACTTCAACACTATTATTATTGTTATTATAACTATCACTATTGATATTGGTCTGTTTGCAATTCTTGTTATATTCTCTAATGACTAATTGTTTATCTAAGTGATGCAAATTAATAATTTTTAAATAATAATTTTTCCTTCACGTTCCTAGTGGGACATAGGGCTTCAACTAGTGGCTTGAAGTTTCTGTAGCAATATTTATTATTGTAGGATGGGGTTGCTAGCCTCATGCCCAACCTTTCCTCTTTACCGGCATTATTTCTTGCTTAGGGAGGTAAAGGAGTGCGTCGGTGGCCGAGGATCGAACCCTGGGCCATGTGCATCGTCGGCGAGCGTCTTAACCGCTGTGCCACCGACGCCCAATCTACACTATTAAAATTGTTATTATAACTATTACTATTGATATTAGTCTGTTTGCAATTCTCGTTATATTCCCTAATGACTAACTGTTTATCTAAGTGATGTAATTGAAGCGTAATGCAATTTATCTTAATTTTGATCTCTCATACTCTCTCTCTCCTTATTTATTTGAACATGACCTGGAAAACATTCGCACGTGTCTTTCTGCATGACTAATTCAATGTAGTTTGTTCACTTACCAGTCTTATATCTCCCAATGTAATTTCAAAAACATAAAAAATATACTTCATTACACGGTACTTACTGACTTGCTATAGATACAATAAATGTCTTACACATAATACATGGACCGTGAAGAAACAGTCTTACGGTATCACACCGATGGTCAACTGCATCAGTGTTTTCGTTTTATTCCATAACTGCAGCGACAAAATCTTTAAAATTTTTTTTTAAGCAGGTCTGACATCTGTTTGTAAAATTCGTTAACTGTTAACAGTAGACATGTAAAATGGTAGGACATTAAATTATCGTTTTTTACGAATTAAAAAATTGATTAACACGGTCTTTTCATTAATCGTCAAAGCGCAGCTGGTAGGACATCTGATTCCTATTTTCTAACTAATGTATTCATCAAGGTGAAAGCAGGCAAATTAACATGAACAGCCATGCTTAGAATTCTGCGATTTATTAGCAGCTCAAGAAACTAACAAAGTTATCACGTATTCTAAAACCGATATCACCACTAGCCTTTGTCGGTGAAATTAAGAAAACACAGAGTAAGAAAGGAAGTAAGACGATAAAATAAAGAATTACTTATTATAATAAAAGTTTTTGTATTTCCCAATGAATAAAAAACAAAACGATATTTTTTTCATTCACTGGAAATACAAAAACCTTTATTATAATGAATATCATATACCCAATGCCCAAATTTTTTTAAAACCGTTAAAAGTGAACTTGGTTTAGACATATATAAAGAATTACTTAAACTGAATTACTGCAATCTAGAGTAAATGTTATATATATATATATATATATATATATATATATATATATATATATAAAGCGGTTTAAGGATAATTAGTGGTTTACAGACTCAGTGTATATGCGTATATTGTCTATAGATGAGCAACGATAATAATTAAGCAGGTTTAGTTAACTGATAAAAGCTCTTTATTTAATTCATATAAATACAACGAAAATTTCGTCATGGCAACTAACTGAATATTTTATATAAACTTACGATCGTAAATCAAGCATTTTAAGACAGTTATCTCGTGTGTGTACCAGTAATAAATTCATAGTTGGATGAAACTCCAAGTGATTGATTACACACATCTAAAAAAGTGAATAAAATAAAAAGCAACATAACTGGGAGTATAGGAATATAATGGCGAGTTGAAGAATATTTTTCTTCTCGATTGAACCATGAGAAAAAGTTCCTCTAGTGAAGTCAGTGTGAAAAATTATAATTGTTGACACTTTTACTCACACACACTAACTTAGTATCAGCAAGTGAAAAGAGTAAACTGAGAGGGAACCTAGATGCCTGTTTCACCTTAGTTTAATAATTCCTAACAGTGTACTCATCAGAGGAGCAAGCTAAGAGCTATCAATTGTTGGAGTTTTGTTGTAATTTAGCTAGTGACATGAAATTCAACAATTAAGATATTCTGACGAATTCAAATTGTGAATACAGCGTTATTGTTATGCAATGTCCTAAGATATCCGTATAAAACAAAGGGTTTAAAATGATGGATTTAAAAAACAGTTTAGATCTATATTGTGTCATTCTGGCTAGTCGAAACTTGCATTTACAGTTTTCAAATTGATAATGAATAATGAAACAAAACTTTAATTTATTACTTTCATGATTCCACCCACCTCTAGTTCCCGAACTTCAATCTTCTTTTCAAATATCCACTTCGAATGAGATTTAACCTGATTGCGTTGACTGTTTGTCTTTTGCCAGACAACAATTAGACCAGATGCATCACCGGAATATATATGGGATCCATTTTTATCAAATGTTAAACTGTTTATATGTGATTTATGTACACCATTCAGTTCTTGTAACAACTTTAAATCCCATTTTTGTAATAAGTAAAAAAGAAACAACACAAACAAAAAATTACTTATCCGTGGGTTAATTAATGATATCAGTAAAATTGCGTGTATCTGATGTCTATAGAATAACTGGTTCCAGTTTTGTGTGAAATAGTTGAGCGAAACCTAAAATCACAATAGCCGTATTCCGAAGATCTGTAAACACGCAGTGTACTCACTGCCAAATGACATGACTGATGTTGTGTAATATGTGTCTCCTTTGTCACAGTGCTCCAGTTTATGTGATTAAATTAGTGACTGATACTCTCACCTATAACATCTCATTAGCGTGTTCTTCGAATTATGCACCAAAAGGTGTGTGTTTCGCTGTAGATGGAACACAAACTTCCTGCAAACCATAGATTTCCTTGTCGACGACTGGTAACATGCACAAAACTAGTTCATTCAAGGATCTGTCAAGAAGTCACTGATGACCTTTGTCACCCAAATCTAATATTCATGGTAAAAAACGGTTGCAGCGAGGAGAATTTTCTTCTCGACGAATTCATCAACTACGGTGTACATTAGTACATATTTAGTAAATTGGTAGGAAAGTTCCAGAACTATTTTCAGTTTCCTAATCCCTATTTGTACTTTGTTGTTGCTCCCTTGGGTCCCTAGTGGAACATAGGGCTCCTATTTGCACTACTATGTTTTAATTGCACAAAAAGTCAATTTTCTCAGTAATTACCATCTTATTATGTATTTATTCAACCTTCCAGTTTATTTTGTCTTTATTAAATTATAACCCCTATTTGCAATTTTGCTGATTTGACCCCGACCGGAAATAGTTCTGAAACTTTCTCATCCTCTTATTATTCCCTTGCGTTCCGAGTGGAACATAATGCTTAAACAACATATCTCCACTTTGTTCTGTTTTTTGCCGTTCTCTTCACCTGGGTCCACGATTGACTAAACTCTCTCATCTCTTCCTCACACGATCTGCTCCATGTCACCCTCGCACCGACGACCCACTCGTCGCTTCCCATTTGGATTCCATTCGAGAGCCTATCGTGTGATGTCATTAGGCGGCCTCCTCAATGTATGCCCGATCCACCTCCACTTTCTCCTACATATTTGTTGAGCGATTAGCTCCTGGTTGATTTGTTCCCATAGTTTCTTGTCGCTCATTCTTTCTGGCCATTTGATCTTCAGTATGGAGCCAGTGAAGGTGGCAGCTTTTGATAAAAGTCTGCAACTGGCTGTTGGAAATCCTCTTCGTGACACTCAACGCACGTTTCTGACCCGTATAGAAGAACCGGCTTCAAAGTGGTGTTGAAAATCCGAATCTTATACCTTATGCTGAGTGGAGAAGACTTCGAAATTGTTTTCAAGCTAGTGAAGGTTTATCTCACCTTTCCGATTCTGACTTTGACATCTTCGTCCGTTCCGACTGCCTGTAGTTGAAACAATTTTTCCTAGATAAGTAAAGGAAGTAACTTTTGTTAAATCTCTTCCGTTGATGGTGATTGGTTCTGGTTGTTGCTGCTCTTGGTGTTGGTTGGTTGGTTATTTTTATCACCTCCGTCTTCTCTATGTTGACCTAGAGCCCTGTCTTCGCCACCTGCCTGTTTCTTCAGCCTCTGAACCCATGATGATTTCTCTTCCTGCATTATCTGCTCCCAGTTCAGCTGGCATTTATATCACCCATAAGGATTTTGATGTCACCATTTAGGATGTCATCTATTACTGTTTGTAGTTGTCTGTAAAAATCCTCCTTCTTTTGTTGTTCCACGTTGTTTAGAGCATTGTGTGTAGCATTGAATAATTGTGACCTTCCTTCCATTGGAGTTGAATCTTGCTGTCATGATCCCGCAGCATGAAATTGGTTTTTTCATTTTTTTATTTACAGCTTGATTCCACACTGTATTTTTGGTACAAGTATAGAATTTTCAGCGTGTGATATCGGTAGCCCAAATTTTGCAGGCCGACCATAGATATCAGGTGTGCGCCGGCGTGGGCTCGAACCCCGGACCATGTGGTGGTCTGCGAGAGTCCTAACCACTGTGCCACCGACGCACACTGGATAAGGGTTTTCGCTGGCACTGGTGACATCATGATAGACACTCACCACCTCAGTGTGCTTACGCTTGTCGTCTGGGCGACCAGACAGAAGCAGATTACTGACTCTCCTGTTGACAATTTTGATAATCGACATCCATTCCACCTGATCTCGCAGCACTTCTGTGCCATATATTCACATTTCTTTGGCTACCTGAGCAGCCTTCCCAGGCACTCCCGTACACCGTGAGTACATTCTACGTCCCCGTTCTTATTCTTGCTTTCATCGAGAGAAGACACATCGGCTGGATTCTTGAATGCTTTTTGTCTTTTTTGTCTTTTGCATTTATAATTTTCCTGTGCGTTGAAGTCTCTATGGCAGTTCGATTGGTTTTGTGGCGTAAGGTAGCTAGCTCTACGCCCATCCCTCCCTCTTTACGGGGCTTGGGACCGGCTGGAAAACTAAACAACTGGTTAACTAGGGGGGGTTCTCATCCGCTTACGATTCACAAATGTTCCGCCTGTCTGATGACTTCATCAAGAAGAAGATTGTCTTCTCTGCAACCATCTTTTTAATTTTTCCTCAAATTTAAAGTTAAAAGTTCTACAAACCAGCTGTTTTCTCTGTGAATGTTCCCCTGTTAGATAGGATGATGAAGGTGAGTCAGACGCTAATAAGACTAATAATAAGGGCTAATAAAACCTCCAAACAATGAAAATGAAGGATATTAATTAGGCTTAAGACGCAATAACTACCTGAGCTTGACTGTGTTTAATGCTCCACAGTCGAATATTTCGATCGTAGCATCCTGTTGCGAGCAGATGTGCAGAATTCAAAAAGTTTGAATATTTTGAGATTCTTGTCCATCTAGTTCTGTAGACGTAGGTTTGAATACTACACTGTAAACAAAGTTTGGATGACCAAGTACATTACATAAAACACCTCTATTGTGAGATGATCCATTAATAATCTGACCAACTTGAATTGGAGTTGAAATTAATTCACGATTGGTTTTAGTGTCTGAATACGAAACCGGAATATATTCACCAACTGTTTTCCTGTATAATTTAGTAAGATGTAATCTCCATACGCGTACAGTTCCATCAGCTGAACCAGACGCCAGAATCCAGAATACTTTTGTATCACCAGAAATTTTTCTTGGAGATGTTTCATCAGATCTGTTATTTGAATTTTGGAATATAGGAGTCTTTGCCCAATCTAGAGAATAGATTATATCTGAATGCCCAGCAAGTTCTAAAGTTGGCTGACTGCGTTTACCACTAAATGGGAACTTTTAAAAGGACAGCGTTAAAACCGAAAAGAAAATAATCTAAATGAGGAAGTGAGTAACTACAGAAAATGAAACAATTTAAAATTGCACTTAGTAATTGCAAATGCTAGTCAGAACATTTTACGCAAAAGTTAATATTCCTTCGGTATGGAATGCACTTCAAAGGCGTAAATTATATTTCAGAATAAATATTCATTTTAAGTTTCATGTAACGTTTGATAAATAACAAAAGTGTGGTTTAAACATATCAACATACAGCCTGAAATGAATTTAAACATTCTCTAACCTTATAAATTAAAATAGAACAATCCATTCTGTTTAATTTATTATCTGAATAATATCCAGTTGTACCACTTGGCATGAAGTGTCGTATAACTCCGGCCGCCAACCATTTACCATCTGGTGAAAATGATAAACACTGAGCACCATAAGATTTTGTCATTGGTAGAAGATTCTGATTTTTTGATGTTCTGTCTGTTGATAAATCATTATTATCACTATTCAAATGCATATGCGTTGTAATTCCATAGCCAACAAGTTTATTTGGAATACGACATGGCTGGCTCGACCGTCGAAGCCAAGAATTTTGCAGTTCCATCAGTTCACTTATTTCAGTGTTCATAACATTCGTGGCATCTTCATCATTGTCTGATATGCTGTTGATAATTGGCACACCTGACTCATTCAGATCGATCATACTTAGTGCAGGCGGCTGTTCAGATAGTTTAGTCTAATATTATTAAAAAAAGGGAAAAGTATATTTGGAAGCAGGCATTATTTATCATGTGTGTGTGTTAGCTGCAAGTCATAAACAAATAAACAAACCTTTGAAAGCCAATGATATCTACTGGGTCTGGAGGAAGTCTTTTCAAATTAAGCATTCACAGCCGCTTTCGAGATTAAAAGTTTTTATGCATATTTTATGACAATGCAGCCATTTCAGCAAGCATTGCAAAATTACTCTAAAGTTATGCCTCATATAATAATTACTAATGTAAGTACTTGTAAACATCTCACAACAACCAGCTATGCTGTTTGGTTATTAGGATTACTGCTCTGGTTGTCCTCAAGTAACAGGAATGCCCATTATCTGGTTAATCGTTACTCTTTCTTGGTTTAAAGCCAGTTGCTCACATCATTCAGTTGAATGTACTATTTTATTTTCGCGAACTTTATTTTTACAAGTTTTTTTACAAGTTTTCCTTATCAGATAAATAGTTACTACGGAATGAACTGAGATTGGCTACTAAACCCGGACTCTTCTTATTGATTCGTAAAATTTGTACGAACTGCTGTCACGAAGATTCTGTGATTACGGTATCATTGTTTGCAACTATTTACCTTTCCATATGTAATGAACAAATAGACTGATTATAAACTTTGATTCGTTATTTCGTAACTTAGCACATGGGGACTTAACTTAAGAAGTTAACTAGATTTGTTGTAACAAAGCATTAACGTTTTCAGATATTATAATAACAGATATTCTTTGAATGGTTTTATTTCGGTGAAAAAAATTGCTTTTCAGGTTGATACATCTGATTACCTGACAGATTATATTTGGTCAGAGCGATTCATATATGTATATATATATATATAAGTGACAAACTACACGGATATAACATAAGTCATCAGCATGTCACTCCCTGTTTATTGTTTCTAGTCTATGGCTGATGCTTATATGTACTTGTGAACAATTAGGTAACAGCACACATCAAAATAGCAAAACCTTAAGTGGATCTCTTGGATTCAGAAATGAGCAAGGTGATTCAAGGTTGATTTTAAGAAATAAAGAAAAAATTAATAAGTAAGAAAGAGGGAAGTTAGTATGTGTAGATAGATATCTTATTTATCTTCATTAAACATCAGAATAAATTTATAAGATTAAATCGTTGAATTCTACTATTTTCATTTTGCCCTCAGTTTTCCCTGAGAAGCTTAATTTAACTGCTACTGTTATTCACTATATGAATTTATGATTAAGAACACAACGTAAGACATGCTAACATCAAATTCTAGCGGTATTAGCTGAAATAAGGTTAATTTGTAAAAAAATTAAAAGTACTGTAACAAAGCTTGAGGTCTTTGACAGATGGTCTGCACTCTACAAGAGGGAAGAAGAGTATAATCTGTCTGGCCAATTTACTCAAACATTTGGCTCAAAAAGGATTTCCTAATTAACCTTGAAAGTGCAGTTTTGATTATATTTTTTGTTTTTTTTACTACAGTTTGTTTCTACACCATATTTTTTGGTACAGGTATGGAATTTTCAGTATGTGATACCGATAGGCCAAATTTTGCAGACCGACCATAGATATCAGGTGTACTTCGGCAGGGGATCGAAACCCGGACCATGTGCATGATCAGCGCGAGTCCTAACTACTGTGCCACCGACGCCTGTTTTTCCCTCTTTTACTCATGTTTGTTCATTTCTGCATTCTCCTATCTCTGTAACACTTTTAATGTCCTCTATTGATGATGTGGTAACCTTGACAGATCTACCACAGTGGGAGATTCTGCTTAATATATTACACTACAATATGTGACTCAAAATGTCATAGTTACTTAGTAATTCTAAAAAGTGAAAAGAACATAAGTACATCTACTTACCATTTTATGAAGTGATTTTTCATGCATTTGATTTTTCATCCGTTCGGTTTTAAACACTGCTTTTACAGTCACATAGAGTGACGAGGGATACGGTACTCTATATCGGTTACCAGATTTCCAACAGGATAATAAATGATAACCCGATTCCATTGAATTATATTCTAAGATGTTAGGACAGTTATTTTTCATCAGTTGACTCTTCTGCAAAGCACTTAAAGTTGACACTTTTCCTAGTGGTAAACTACCAAGTTTTTTCTCTATTGAATTTAAAGACTTCTTTATGATCGGTTCATACAATTGTAAGCGTTGTTTTTTGTGACCTGTATTTAACTCACCATTGGAATTTCTCAGCCGCAGGAAAGCCCATGCAACCATGAAAGAATGAATACTTCTTTCTGCAGATATTTCGTGGTTACTGCTATTGTTCTCATAAATACTTTCAGCTGTATCCAGAATCTGTGTAAATGAAAAATACCCGTGAAATTAGTTTAAAGGGGCAGTTGACGCTTTCCCACTAAACTAAAAATGACCAGTAATCAGACTGATATAACCTCTGTTTCGTAAACTAGCAGTCTTTAGATTCAAATATTTTCCAACTAGCGATTTCACTTTGACTTTCTAGCTTCTTATGAAATGAAAACATTTCACAAAGAATGAAGTAATTATTTTATAAAAACTTTTAAAACTTTTTAAAACTTTTGCAGACGAATCTCTTGGGCTTGCATCACTTAGATCTCAGTGACGACTGGAACTACAACCATAAATTTCGTTATTAACAAGGCAGAATGCAGTGACAACTTCCACTTTGTCGTATTGAAGGGAATCTTCAACTTGAAATGATGATATAAACCATTCTATTTTTTAATACCTTTCATAGCATCTTTTTAATAATAATTTGGATTTGTGCCATGAAATCACTCGCATTTAGTGTTAAAATTATCATTTGTGAAGATTTGGAGTGTGTAAAATGAATGGCTCTAACACCATAACATACAGTATTTTAAATCTCCATGTTTCTTTCCCACTCAACAACTTCATTTTTACTTAGCATCCGTCAGGAGAAAACGGATTATTCAGTATCTGCATGAAGCCATACAGCACCACTGAGGGTGAATTTAGAATTTAAACATGACCTAGGTGATATTATAATAATCAGAAAGGGTCGAAAATCACCCATAAAAACAAAATGACATATAAATATGTTTGCGAAATTACACTAAATGGCCATCCAGAACGGTTGTTATAATAAGCATTCTTAGACACTGATGTGTACATTAAGGTTTCTTCTTACCTTTGTATCTATCAAAAGTATATTAGATGCAGTATACTAACAGATGCCGAGAAAACCTAGTTTTGCGCCCACAGACCTTGGTGAACCAATTTATACTGCATGAGAAAGAAGTAAAACTAAAAAGCCACATATGAAATGCAATACAGGGCTCAGCCTTTGAAAACTATTCATTAGCTGATGAGAAGTATTACTATAGTACTTCTTGTTCCAGTTAAATTTCTAGACAATAGGTGTTTGACCAAATGGACAATAGTTCGTAAAATTTTTAATATAAAACAGCTTGAACAATCATTTTACTTCTAGGAATAGAATTTTTTCTGAAACATACAATCTTATTCACATGGAATTTCGTCGTTTCACGTTCATAAAAATGAAATGCAGCTTGTGAGGGTATCTGCAAACTTACTTCAAAAAATAGAATAGAATTTTTGTTACTTGTGATCTTATCAAAACGTTGGTCTATCAAAATTACGTCGTCCCAAACTGGCATTAGTAAATCCTGGTACTTTGTATTCACAACCTTAGTATCAGTAGGAAGGATGGGCACTGCGTTTTCCTGCAAGGTGCTATTACTTTTTCACTGCTGATGGAAAATTTCAAGATCCTTACTTATTATTGATTTTCAAATAATCTTCTGTTCCCGTATCCATAATATGAATTCGAACAAATAATCGGGAAATAGTCGGGGAAACTTTGAGTCTGTCCGTTCGATATACAGTAATGTTCAAAAGACTATTCTCTTCAGGTAATATCTTTGAATCCACTGCTCCTTTCTATAAGCTAAAGTCACTCATATCAGGTAATACTTGAGGTTCGTTTTCACTTTCATTGGAACGTCTAGATAACTTCCTACTGCTTCTGCCAAAGCATCCGTGCTTTTCTTTCTACTCATGCTTTACAAGATTTTGAAAATTGACTCTGACAGCAAACTTACCTTAGGTTACCCTTACTTATATCCTCCAATTCAAACGAATCATTCTCTTCCCCAGTCTAGATAATTAAATGCCTTTTAGAAATCAGCGAAAACATTTACTTTTGATGGTTTCTTAATTTTTTTCATTCTTCTTATATACCATCTGAAAATAAATGCAGTAAATCGTTACACTAGCAACGCACTTCAAAATACTGCAAACAACTAACAGTTTTTCGTTAGTGTATTCAAACTATGCATATCCGATAACAGGGTCATTCAAGACTTCTTTTGTTTCTGATATTTAGTGTTCCTTTTAAAAAAGTAGTAAACTAGGTTAGTGTGTACGCTGACTTCTTAATAGTGAACTTTGGTATATCTCTGTGTGATCTACTATTTTGTATATTTTCGGCAAGCTTTTGCAAACCTTTTGGTCAGTCAGTGTTCGCTCCTGGATTTCACGGAATGCCTCCATTGCTGAAGAGCTCTGCCCTTAACCGTCAATAATAAAATAAGTGTCAGTAAATTTCACGGTATTTATAATTTGTTTTACCGAAGATCTGATACTATTATTTACACTTTCCATTTTATAAGGCAATTTTCCGTGCCATCGGGAAACTGATCATACCTAGGACAGAGTGCAGCTGAAGAAGATGAGCGACAAAAATTCATAAACGCAGAGTCTATGGAAAAGGCCAGGATAAATACGCACAAATAGATTGTAAAAGAATCGACAACACAAAAAGGAGTGAGTAGTGACAGAGTAGTCCTTCAGAAGGAGACTGTTGACGCTGTACATGTGAGAGGACATTTTTTCCGAATGACCATAGGAGATGGTCACACCAGCCTAAAAAGAGTTTTCTAAATAATAATCTCCATGTTAAATACAGCTTAAGCAGTTTTGTTTCACTGTCTTGCTACCCACTGTTCTCTTGGAATCACTTAAGTGTCCTCCTAGCAGTGACTGACTGTACAGCCAATCATCTAGCCATTCCCGATTATGCGGCTAAACACATACAGACCTTGTAGTCAGTCATAATATGGACACTTCCAGCTTCATAACAGCTGCTCTGAATTGCATTACGTGAAGTTGGTATGCTCCTGTAACTTCTTATTAGTTCTCTTGTCCAAAAACTTCTGCAGTATCATGTAAGCGTAGCATCCAAATATACTTCGACCAGCTTTGTCCACTAATTCTAGGGCCACCTTTGTACTAGGTGGGCGCAGGGAATTGAACGCATCTAATAATTCAGCTCAGCTTCAGTCATTTCACTTTCAATAATCAATATTTGTCTGTATTGATGAAGAAGGCATATCAGGCCAGTCTGTGGGCTTGGCTCGGATTTCACTCTTGACACGACGGGTTTTCAGTTCTTATGACCTGACGTTCTATAAATTTTCCACACATAGGTTCCATGTGACAATGTGTTGGACTATATCTAGAAACACTGTTTACACTTTATTTCTGGAGCCAGTGCTTCGTTCACTTTGTGGTGGATTCATTTATGATTGTACGATGAGCTGATACTGACCAAAAGCTCTAAAGACTCTGACGACCGTATCCCCTAAAGAATTACATCATACTTCCAGTTCTTCTGAAGCATCTTATTGCTCAGTTAATGCTTGAAAGGACTAGTGAGGTGCGCGCAGTAGTATGTATCGCTGCGTTGCAGAATCAAAGCTCTAATGCAGGTGGCTTTCCAGACAGAGTTTCGTTAGTTTGGGTCTGAACGGATTGGGATGATATATAAGGTCCTTGAGGCTCTGTAAGATATTTGAAAAACTGTATGCAGCCCACTTTCACTTAACTGAGCTGTCTATAGAGTGACGTCCTTAAAGTGCCGAAGACCTCTAAATTGCAAGTATCCAACCCTAGGTATTCTCATAACTCACGGCCTCCGACCAGTGGATCTAATCTAAGTTATAACATATATGAAAACACCTTCCCCTCTCCTTCTAGTCCTCTCTAAAAAGCATGAAACCACCTGCGCCTGTTTCGATGTCTATGTGTCTTTTGGCACAATTACAAATGATTGCCAAGTGTGGGAGCAAAGACAGCAGTCCATTTATCTTGCATTTAAGAGCGAAACTGTTATTATGTAAACACTAATTCTTATCCCCACAATACATACACGCTTCCGGGTGATACATTATTTTTGTCAAGCGTTGGCCTATCATTGGAGGTCTCATGTCGTTGCCCATAGAAATGAAATTATTCTGATTTTGTAGCTCACCACTTGCTGCTAGTGTTGCAAGGCTCTCGGATCGCTCTGATTAAAGTGAAAGACTCTACCATCGTTGTCCTCTGTTTTGGTGCCATTGCCCTATGTGTTCTGATATCCACAGTTCAATGCGATGAATGCTGGTGTCAATGTAGTTCAAGATTGAACGATCAATTCATGGTTGTTTGCCCGAAACCAACTTCCCCAATTTTCGCGGAGGCATCAATACACCAGTCATCGTCTCATCGGTCGCTGTTCAGAAAGAAGTCAGGAGACAACCATCAGAAGTAACATTGTGGTTTATTATTGTAATATTTGTTCATAGACCTTAGTTGTAAAGCTTAGTTGTACATTGGCTATATGTTGGTGTTAGAATAAATAATTCTCGAGTCACCAAACTGGGTTCTGGTTTTTGCGTCCGTTTGTACTAAGCGTTTCTGAGAAGCTTCGAGGAACAGCGTGAGTCCCAGCGTAGCAAGAGCTGGGCATTAACGGTTTACGAGACGTGGCTGACAGTTTCAGACGGTTGTCTACTGACTTCTTTCTGAACAACGACCGATGAGACGATGACTAGTGCATTGATGCCTCCGCGAAAATCGGGGAAGTTGGTTTTGAGCAAACAACCATGAATTGATCGTTCAATCTTCAACTACATTGACAGCTGGTATTCTTAGTGTGGATAAATTCAGCGGTCATGGCAACCCTCAGATGCCCCCAATGAAAATAGTCTCTCCCAGGTCTCAAAATCCCCGAGCAGCAAGTTAGAGCGCACTTTTTATGTGGGGTGTTCTCGACTGCGATCGTAACATTTGCAAGGCGTTCAGTAAATCTGAAAATATTAAGTTGGCGAATTCGGCATACTTAAGTGTACATTTACAATATCGAGGCTGAAACTTGATGAGGTCTATGAACCAGACAAACACCAGTAGATCATTGCGCAATTTCTAATTAGTCATATTTTAATTATCACTTGGTCACTAGTAACTAGTGTCTCTATTGTGAATGATGGATGTTCATACCTGAACCCCTTTGGATTGCTCGGGACAGAGTGAAGCTCAACACAATAACTTCCAAGGAGTTTGATGAACTATCTAACATTCAAGTATTTTCATAACAAATGAGACTGCCCAAGGAATTTTAACTACTAGGGAATATTTCCTTTCGCCTCAAATGTGTTGCATTGCACGTACGTGAATTAGAGCCATTATTCCTCAACATTGACCAGCTGAGACAATGTTACTTATGGCTCTGATGTGACGCCTTTTATCTGGTATTGTACCTGACAATATACAGTATACTGGACTCAAACGCTTGAATTTAAAATTGTGGAGGAGTTGAGTATCCTAAGGTCAGCTTACGGACTGAAAACCTCTTCAGTAAGTTTGGTACTAGTTATTTGTTTTTCCTCCTGGAGTTCCTGAGATGATATCTGCATTATCAAAAAGTGCTGTGATTTTTTATCTTGTCGACAAACTGCATGGTGTGTAGTCAGACAAAAACAAATCCGATATCACACACTGATAGTGGGACGGTGTTCAAGGTCAGTCTGGATGATTTTGCATACTGCTGTATATTTTCGGCAGAAATATATCCATTTGTGGTATTCTGACGCATATACTATTGGTCAGGTATGTATATACATCATAGTATTTTGATGTTCCCACTTCTTATACGGATACTGTTATTTATACATTCCTCCCAACGCCACTGAATCTTTTTTTTTGAAGATAAGATAAGCTTTATTCCAAATCAGTACTTGTGATACAGAATGGAATTCTCAGCATTTTACTACAATATTGCATCCAGTTAGTACATTAACAATAAATATAGTTCTACATAGATTAAGGTTATCTCAGTCAGTTTTGACAACAACATATTAGCATGTCGGTAGCAAAGCCAAAATTTAAACAGAGTGTTTGAAGGTGTTAGAAAAGTAGATACTACTGGCATATTTACTGGCGTAAGCGATAGCAAAATGGTCGAGATATACAGAGTGTGAAAGAACGAACAAGAATGTTTTAAGTAGAGTTTGTAAGGAAGAGAGAAACAAAACAGCACATAACAAAAATAAATACAAAAAGAGAAAAAAAAGTAGAGAGAAAACGTTGTACCTGTAAATGATGTGAGTTGGAAAGACGAGATCCATTTGTTCTACTGACTATTTAATAAGTTAAAGGTTTCACGCCTAATGCTTTCTTTATCGCACAGAACTCGAGCTAGGTAGCGTATGGATGAGTTTTTGTACTTGCTAGTGCGGGCATATAGTTTCCTATATAGGCTTCTGGTTTTCCCTGAAGAGATACATGGGGAGAGTTGTGAATGTAGAGGGTGTTGTGAGTCAGATAAAATGGATTTTGCCCATTTTTCACATGAGTCCATGTGCCTGTCCACCAGAATATTAACAAGCTGGCTAAGTGGCAAACTGCTTACCCTGCTGACAACCTTTAACATCCTACGTAATAAGGTATAGTCTTTCTTCAGTAGCCCAGGAAAGACTAAGGGGGAACAATAGAGAATA